CACAAGAAAGAACCAATTTTAAACTTGAACCGTCAATTTTCGTTTTACAATGATCTTCTCTGTGCGCGCGCGTCAGTGTTTGTGAGAGAGAGAGCTCGCGCAGCACTGATAGAGTAGGCTACTTTTTAATCCATAAGTAACTAACGCGCTAGTTTTCATACAAAATAAATATGTAACATAATTAGGTAGGCTACTTTAGTTATTAACACAATAACGTAACACATGCAGGCTACGTTTCTCAACACTGAGAATGAATAAATAAAAGCCTGTAGGCTACGTTTCTCCAGACTCGCGTTTATCAGTATCCACAAATTACAGAACTTTCATAAATCACTAAGACATAGCGATTTTAATTTTATTTCGATTTATTGTTCAGCATTACTTGAGCATTTTATCATTTGCATGGCTGAATGATGTTTTCCTCTGAGTGACCATGAATGACGGAGTATTTTAAGATAATCCATGTGATCACTCCCGTGTGATCATCGAATCCAGATTAAGTTAACTAAAAACTATATTTTAACTTTCCACATCCACCCCAGCCCGTTTACCTTCAGGAGTCAGAAGTACCGTGACTAATGTCCTCGCTTATATGAACTCAGACGCGCGCCGCGGGAGTGGAAGGGTGATCGAGCGGGATTCTTTATTGCTGTCGATTTTCAGTCTCTTTTTAATGATAGGCCTTACGCATCTGTCAATCGTCCCCGATATATTGCGTGCAGATGGAATTTGCGTGCGAAGCAGTGCTAAGACAACCGTTTATCCCGTAGTTTGCAAAAAAAAAAATCATTACAAAAATTAATACCTCGTAAAATGGCAATTAATACCTTTTAATAACTTTTGATGGCCTTAATTTTTACTAATTTGATTTACTACCTTTTAATACTTTTTAAAACCCCGCGGACACCCTGATGTTCTCATTCTGTTTACGCCAAATTCTGACTCTACCATCTGAATGTCTCAACAGAAATCGAGACTCATCAGACCAGGCAACATTTTTCCAGTCTTCAACTGTCCAATTGTGGTGAGCTCTTGCAAATTGTAGCCTCTTTTTCCTATTTGTAGTGGAGATGAGTGGTACCCGGTGGGGTCTTCTGCTGTTGTAGCCCATCCGCCTCAATGTTGTGTGTGTTGTGGCTTCACAAATGCTTTGCTGCATACCTCGGTTGTAACGAGTGGTTATTTCAGTCAAAGTTGCTCTTCAATCAGCTTGAATCAGTCGGCCCATTCTCCTCTGACCTCTAGCATCAACAAAGCATTTTCGCCCACACGACTGCCGCATATTGGATGTTTTTCCCTTTTCACACCATTCTTTGTAAACCCTAGAAATGGTTGTGCATGAAAATCCCAGTAACTGAGCAGATTGTGAAATACTCAGACCGGCCCGTCTGGCACCAACAACCATGCCACGCTCAAAATTGCTTAAATCACCTTTCTTTCCCATTCTGACATTCAGTTTGGAGTTCAGGAGATTGTCTTGACCAGGACCACACCCCTAAATGCATTGAAGCAACTGCCATGTGATTGGTTGATGATTAGATAATTGCATTAATGAGAAATTGAACAGGTGTTCCTAATAATCCTTTAGGTGAGTGTATATCGCGATTAGAACAAATCTCAGTAGGCTATAGCAATATATGCATGTATCACCTCAGATCATTTGCGTTTGAATATTGCGCGCTCTCAGTGGGCATGATAAAATTAAAAGATAATGAGCTGATATGAGAACGACTGACATCTCTCTCTTTTCATATAGATTACATAAACAGAGAACATTTGTTTTTGTTATGAATTAGACCATTTAAAAGTACACACTTAAATGATTATAAAGATATATAGCTCATGCCTGGGTGAATAGTATTCGCTGAGTTTTGTTTAAGTTTAGAGACGTGCTCCAAAAAAAAAAGTTTACGGTCACGGAGAGCCAGAAAGCACACCCTGTTTCTTTTTCTTTATTTTACAAAAGCACAATGTTTTGTTTCGATTGTAAGTGGACACAAGAAATATGAAAAAATAAACTGCTGAATGTCTTCGTCATTTCTGGTCATACAGACTTATAAAAAAGGAGTATTTTAAGCCTATTTTGCTGCTATGTGAAAAAAATCGAGCAAAACGCGCCCCAGAGGGTTAATGTACAACAACCTGGAATTTACAATGTCATGGGAAACCATTTTGCCACTATGACAACAATGTTATTAGCATTATGAAATACTGTTATTGGTGACTGTTTCTTATTACGCAATATGACACATGAGTAAAACAGACCCTGAGTAACTGCTTCTGCAGAACTGGTCCAGTTAGTCCACAAACACACAGTTCACAGGGCTTTCTCAATTAAACAAAAAGCTTGGCAAAATAAGGACTATTGTAAAAAGCATACTGATGTATAAGGAGTCGATGGATTAGTCCATCCAGATATAAAGAACAAATAAGTAAAACTTCTTTAATCTGCAACTGATGCTCTAGCTCACATTTAAACTGCTCCACAAAAGCATTAATATCCTTCATTCCCTTCCAGAGTTCTCAGAGGACTGACATGATACCATAATTGGCCAATAAAATACATTAGATTATTTCCATTTTCACTGTTAAAGGAATCAATCATCCCCTTAAGCCTATTAGATCAAAATTTGCAGAGTAACGTGGATTTGGCTGGGCTGTAGACATTAATGCGGGCAAAGCTAAAGGGGATAGAAAGCCAAGTCTTGTGTGAACGGGAGACTGTTTTTCTATTCAATTATTTATTCACTGTGTTCAGCTAAGTCAGTGACATTTACTCACTTGCTTTAACAAAGAGCTGTTTGGCTTCATTTTAACACCTGTCTCATAAAATAATACACATCTGTTCAAAAGTTTGGAAGTTCTTTTTTGAAAGAAGTATCTTATGCTCACCAATGCTGTATTTATTTGATCAAAAATACAGTAAAAATACAGTAATGTTGTGAATAGGGATGGGACGGTATGAAAATTTCATATCACGATTATAGTGACCAAAGTTATCACGATTATCAATATTATCACGGTTTTGTTAAAATGAGATGGAAATGTTCAAAAAGAACTGATGCTCACCCTGAAAACATTTGAAAATCAACAAACAAAAAATACAATTAGCAGGCTAGCAGCTATATGCACTTTTTTAAGCATAAACATTATATTAACATTAACATGGAGCCCTGAGAGTGAGAGGTATAAGTTTTCCTAGTGCAGGTTTTAATGAACCCGTCATTAAACCCTATCATTAATAATGATAATAACACTTATGGATGTGTGTATGACTGAATATTATTATTATTAATAAATAATAAATCGCTTTCTCTCACACACACTCACACACTTTAAATGAACAAAATATGTTGGTTGGGTCAGGGTGACTAAACTACTGGAATACTTATAATGACTGTTGTAAATAGCAACGCACTACACAGCGCACATCCATGTCTCGGATCACCGTGGACGCGATCTCTGGTTTCATTCAAATGTGTATGTCTTGCGTCTCAGTTTTGATTGTATTGAATTGAAAATTAAATCAGAGTAATTTAGTATTAATACTACTACAATATTGTTGAAGTGATCACATTTACTTTACGATTGATTTGGACAATGTAACTTGTATAATGGATTTATAAACCGGCAAGATTTAAAAACATTAAGTTAATCACAATTCAATATTTCATGTCCCTGAAATTATTTCTGTGGTAAAAAATAAAAAATAAAACTGTAATAAGTTTACTATGAATGAATACAATACATTAGGCCTATCCCTTAAATGTCACCCTTAATAGTTTGAATATGTTCGTTCGTCTTGGCTCAAATCCACTTGCTGTAAAACTATTCTCTTCGCGGAAGCTTTGCAATAATTACAAGTGAGATAATGAAATAATTCATCTCCAATAAATTTTTTGGCTAATTATTTGCCCAAGTTAGTTGTGCTATTAAGGTAAAAATAAACTCAGTGGGTGGTTGTCACGTAACGTTAGATGACTTAGCAGATTTGACGTGTTTCCCCCTTTTGCAGCGACTTTCCTCTTGCAAGGTTTGCAGACAGGGTGCCCATCCTCGATTAAATTGCCCTCGGGACTCTTGCAATAGCCAAAATACGACCATACCTCCGATTTTGTCCTCTTGGATGGCTGAAAAATCTCCCGTGCGCTGTCACTGCCTTCCGCCATGTCTTCTCGCGCAAAAAAACAACATTGCATCTGCGCGCCTGCTCGCGTCGCGCCTGCGTCAGACTGATTCTGGCTGGACAGGATTTACCGCGAGTTTTCAAAATCACGATAGTCAAACACGGTTTTTATGATAATTAAATTTTAAACGATAATACTAACCGCCAGGAGATTTTATCGTGGTTTATCGTGAAACCGGTAATCGTCCCATCCCTAGTTGTGAAATAGTATTACAATAATTACAATACAATAACTGTTTTCAATTTTAATAGATTTTAAAATGTAATTTACTCATTCTATTATACTGATTCAGTGATCAAGTAACATTTAATCTTATTATCATAGTTGTAAATGATTATGCGTTTTAATTTTTTTGGAAACCGTGAAACATTTTTTCATGATTCTCTGTTGATTAGAAAGTTCAAAAGAACAGCATTTATTTGGAAGAATTTTTTTTGTACATGTAAACTTTACTGTTGTTAAAGTCTTTACTGTCACTTTTGATCAACTGAATGTGTCCTTTCTGAATAAAAGTATTAATTTAAGCAAATAAATACAATTAAACACTATATGGAAGCACTTTCAAAAATACATAAACTAAAAACGATCCTAAACTTTTGAATGGTAGTGTACGTAACATTAGCTCTTAGTCACTGCCACTGGACATGTCATTAGTTTTATTTTGGTGTACTATTAAATACAATTAATGTAAAGCATCACAGCCTCACCATCTGAAGTCAGAGTATTTCACAAAGCTAGATTTTTAGGTTAAACTTTCAGGTGAGATTTTTAAGTAGGTTATCACATTTTATTAATCTAGCAGGCAAAACTTACGCTGTTCCTTCTTGAGAGCCCATGGCGGTTGGATCCTGTACCTCCATCTCAGGGTTGGTGTAACCGAGCGTCCCACTATAACTGACCTGGTGCTGCAGCAAAACAGGGATGGAAATAAAATCATGATGAGAGAGAAAACAGGCATAGAGACAGAGATACATTACTATTGCTTTGAAAATGAGCAGTTGTCCCACATGAAACATTAGTTGGTACACAGAAAAAGCATCATATGATTAAGATCCACATTATAATTAATATGACGCACAACAGCAACACAACCCCTCGTCCAATAAAAATCCACAACAATAGGTACATTTGCAGAAGTATGCATTCGGATGATTTTTATTTCTTTTTTTCATTTTGAGAACAGGAGTGTAGAATCTAAGAGTATGTGTGTGCAAGTTTGTGTGTCTTATGGGTGTGGGATACCGATGGCACATGTGTGCTTGTGTATGTGGCAACATGTATGTGATTACAGAACTGGTGGCCCTGCCCAACACAACAATTTACATAAGGAGCCAAAGCAAACAGTTCTTAAGAAACAGTGAAGTCACATGCACCCTTCTCAGTAAAGGCTGGAGTCAACTTACATAACCCTTCAGGAAAAGCACACATACTACAAACCCAGCCTGTTTAGGTACGATATTCTTGAAAAATGGCATACAGAATTGTAAAAAGCTAATATTGTTTGTAACATAGCCTACTTCATTTTAATCAAAATTACAGTAAAAACAGTAATACAGTGAAATATCACAATTACAAATAACTGTTTCTATTTGAATATATTTAAAAATGTAATTTATTCCTGTAATGCAAAGCTGTATTTTCAGTATCATTACTCCAGTCTTCAGTGTCACATGATCCTTCAGAAATCATTCTAATTTGCTGATTCAGTGTTCAAGTAACATTTCTTCTCATTATAAATTATAAATAAGAATAAAAAGTTCAAAAGAACAACATTTATTTAAAATAGATTGTTTGTAAAAATGTATAAAAAGTGACATTTACTGTCACTTTTGATAAGTTTAATAAGTTTAATGCATCCTTATTGAATAAACGTCTTAATTAAAAAAAATGGTAGTGTACATGCATAAAACAAAATTATTAGTAAAAGTTTACAATAAGGTTTCATGAGTTAATATTAGTTATTAACTATTGAATGGTAGTGTACATGCATAAAATAAAATTATAAGTAAAACTTTACAATAAGGTTTCATTAGTTAATATTAGTTAACTGCATTAGTTAACATGAACTAATAATTAACAACTTCTACAGCATTTATTCATCTTTGTTAATGTAATTTTAACATGTAATAATACATTATTAAAATCAAAAGTCGTATTTGTTTGTTAACATTAGTTATTGCACTGAAGTAACATGAACAAACAGTGAACCGCTGTATTTTTATTTATTAATGTTAACAAGATTAACAAATACAGTAATACATGTATTGCTCATAGTTAGTTCATGTTAGTTAAACTTATTGTAAAGTGTTACCAAATTATTTATAAAGTATTGTAAAAAATAATCACAATTAATCAAGCCCCTGGAGCAGTACACAATTCCATAATAGCACCATGTTCCCGTCATGCCTGCTTACAGCGTTACATTCAAAGTGCTAATGTCTATCAAGGGCAAGGCAGTCAAACTGTCTTCAGAACACACATCATGCGCTCTGTGGCTCATTTCCTATAGTTCAGTGTGAGCTCAATGTGCCGCCCCTGTGAGGATTTGGCAGTATATAGCATGGGTGAGTAGTTTTCCTGGGAATGTGTTAATTGCTCTGAGAAGCAACTGTGCTGATGATTTCGTCCCCACACTAGGTTGTTTTAACAACCTAGTTGTTACAACAATTAGGTTGCCATGAGCTATCCACCCTGATGATTACATATGTGGGCAACGCAGCTCTGTTTTCAGAATTCAAATACAGTACACAAGCCTAGATTTGATAACAGATATTGTTAATTCAAAGGCTAAAAAAACTGAACCACTATGGAATGTTGTTTAGGAAGTGTGGAGTCGAGGCAATAACTTAATACATATAGTACCGTTCAAAAGTTTGGGGTCAGTAAGATTTTTAATGTTTTAGAAAGAAGTCTCTTATACTCACCAAGACTGCTTTATTTGATCAAAAATACAAGTAAAAAACTAATTATTGCAATGTTTTCTATTTTAATATATTTTTTAAATGCAATAGTGAACTACTGTTATATAGGCCTATGTCATGAAAAAAATGAAGACCGGAAGTACGTCTTTTAGTAGGGATACGGATATTCCGGTTATCTTTTTACAATGGTGGAGTCCGATAGATATCGCTGGACCAAATCTCTCCGCAACCTGCCTGAAGTCACATATGACGATGTGGTTCGGATGGTAAATGAAAACTCAAGTGAGGAAGCATGAAAGCTGAGGTATGGCTGTCTACGTCCTGATGCAGAGCAACCTGGTACACTACAACAACAGCTGCGGGTAGCTCTAGCCGTTCGCCAGTAAGGTAAACGTTTCTATGGTAACAGCGAGTTGGACCAATCAGCAGACGTTGCTGCTACGCTTAGGATTGTGGGTAGTGTAGTTTTTTTTTCATAAGATCGCGGATAAAACATGTTTTTCTTAAAACAAGGTTGATTTCATACGAACTTATAGCTTCAACAGGAGAAAAAAAACTTCGTTTCACAACGTCATAGCTCGTGGTCAGTCTACCTTGGATGGTTTAGACATTAGGGCTGATAATCTAAATCCTTATCGAGAAATACTGTTGACCGGAAGTTCTGTATCCCTACTCCGCGTTCCGGAAGCAGGAAGTGTGACATAGGCCTATTAGTATGCTGATTTGGTGCTCAAGAAACATTTCTTATTATTATAAATGTTGAAAACAGTTGTGCCGTTTCATTTTTTTTAAACTGTGATACAATTTCTTTAGGATTTCTTTTTGTAACAAATTAAATGTCTATTAAAATGACAATTTAACGCATCCTTCCTGAATGTACTTACTGACCTTAAACTTTTGAATGAATAATTTATGTTAAACAATAAAACTAACAGGTGTTCCCAGAAAATGCTTTAGAATAATAATTCGGTTCCCTAAACCTGTGCATTTGATGCATTCCCCAAATATTAATATAGAATCACAATTATTATACAGATTTGTGTACAGCCAGCATTGTTTTCAGTGGCCTAGCAACAAAATGGTGACATCTGACTATTAATTAATCAGCTAAATAGAGAAGGAAATTGATACACTTGGTTTTATGTGGGTGGAAACAAATATTAATTGATCACATTTTTTATTTGACACAAAAAGAAAACATGATGTAGTACAGCAAAATATAAATAACCACCATTTGCTTTGCTAAAAATATGTTTATGTTTGTCTGTGTTGTACCTTGATGAGATTAATCTTGGGAATCCCAGATTCATTTTCTGGAGGAGGCTTTCTAGAATCTTTAGCCTCTTGTCGATGCCGCTGTCGCACAATATACTCATATGTGCTAAGTCTGTTCCACACTGAAGAGGAGAATGAGATGGAGAGAAAGAGACAGAATCTGACACAAAATGTCTACTGTCATATCACCCATGCACATCACATAATTTATATCATTCAGGGTAGGAACCATATCTATATATTAATCATATAGTTAGGCAAAAACTGAAATGTATTAAGTGCAGATGTGGATGTTTATTTCTGATTTGATCTCACAAATAGGTTGGATAGAAATTTATGAACCAAGTTCTACTGCCACTGGATTTCCTAGGAATGCCCCCTTGTGGCAAACCCATAGAGGAAAATGTTTAATTAGAATAACAACCACAGCAACAAGACATCAAATAACCTAAGAACCAAAGACTGACTACAGGGTGATTGTCTTTGTCGGTGAGGCTTCAGAAAATGAACTGATCTTGCCTGTGGTGTTTTGTTGTTATTGTTACCAAGGCTGGCACTAAGCTACACAGATCTACGGTGAAGGTAGGCAACATAAGGCAGTGAGAAGCCCAAACTGTTTTGTGGATTAAGACTTAAGATACCAAAGCCTGAGCCCAAACCAAACCATTGGCATGGGGGCAGATATCAACCTGCTTATTCCAGACATCAGGGGAATACACCTGCACCTCTTGGCGCAGTTCAAAAGGTGCAGGTAGTTATTATTTGGTTGCAGTAAACAACACTTTAAAGATATGTTTGTAATGACAAATGCAATTATATGCATATTTCTTTTAAAGTGTGCTGCATTGACTTGTAATGCATTCAGTTGCTTATTAAGAATGTGAGTGCACTAAAAGTCTAGTAGCAGGTTAATATTGAGGGAAGAAGTGTGCACTGCTGGGAGTGTCTCTCACACTACTCTTCAAAAGTTTGGGGTCAGTATTAAGATTTGTTTTTAGAGAAATTCATGCTTTTATTCACCAAGGATGAATTGATTGTTGACCAAAAGTGACAGTAATGAGTTTTATTGTTACAAAAAAAACTATTTCAATTTAATGTTGTTCTTTTGAACTTTCTATTTATCAAATAATCCTGAAAAAAAAAAAAAAATGTATCACGATTTCCACAAAAATATTAAGCAGCAAAACTGTTTTCAACATTGATAATTATAACAGGGTTCCTACACATTTTCCATTTCAAAATTCCAGACTCAAATTTCCAAACCTCTCTGTAGATTTTTCAGACCATAATTAACATAAATGGTTCATACACAGGCACGGATTAACGCACGGGCCTACTGGGTACTTGCCCAGGGCACTGGGCCAGCAGGGGGCCCTGTAAAATTTACTGTGTCTATTCTTTTCAAATAATTATTTTTATTTTATTTTTATTTTCAGTAAAATTGTGTTAAATATTTAGGAATAATGTGATTTTTTTAGCAGTTGCAAAGTATTAACTAGTAAATAAATCAAATAAATAATTTTAATGTATTGCTGCACTGTTGAGAAGGACATCTAGAGGCAAGTGAAAAGCATTGCGTAATATAAAAGTCACGCGTAGAAGACGGTTACTCAAAAACCAAAACAAAAATGAGTTTACAACCACAACCAAGTGGATCAATGAAAAGAAAGCACAAAAAGGACAAAGAAGCAAGAGAAGCTCAATTACTACCAAAATCAAGAAAGATACCCCTCAGCTAAGTAAATTTAAACCAACTTTTTTTGTTCTAAGCTAAATGCCTGTGGTGAACGACAGTTACACATGAAATGTAATGAAATGTCTGCTAAATGTAGACATGTAAATTATTTATGGAATTGTCTCCTGTGATATGATTTGGAGAGGTCAGAAGCTTTTTGATTGAGTATGTTGTGCAGTATGTTGTATGTTGATAGATACTGGTGAGATATAAATAAACCAATTTGTGGTGTGAAAGTACAGAATATTGTGTGCATTCTCAGAATATTGTGTGCATTCTCAGAATATTGTGTGCATTCTGCCTGTATGATGGGGCATACAGGCAGAGGCGAACCAACACTGAGTAGGGCCCCAGGCAAAATTAATCAATGAGGCCCATTTTATATACTGTAAAATATTTTTTTTTTGTTGATATATCTTCATTACCTAGATGTAGGCCTATAATTATACAAAATTCAAAAAGTAGTCAAAACGCAGAACATTAACAGAACATAGGCTAAGTTGTTAATGTTTTACAATAGTAGCCTATGGGGATATTTTTTTAACGAAATGTCAATCTTCATCTTTATAACAGAAGATAAAATACAACACAACAATCTTCAAGATACAGTAAATCTTCAAATGTGTAACGGATTGTCACCTTAAAAAGTGTCTTTTGTGGTGGAACAAGCTATGCTATATAGCATCTTAATTTAATATTTGTTTTATTATTTTAGTTCATTAAGTAATTGTTAACTCAACTAATTTAACGTAAAGACCTGGATACTAGAATTACTAATTAAATAAATGTCAACTAGCCTAAATGCATTGATTATAATTGCCATTGACTAAAGATTTTTCTAGTCGACTAGTAGTCATTCATTTAAGCAATTAGTCGACTAATCTCACGTTAATATTAATTTCTGTGCATGGAGGCATATAGCCTATTCCGCGCTCAAGCAAGCGCATGCATAAATATTGCCGCAAAGCACCGGTAAAAAGCAGGCTAATGATAATATATGTCTGGGGGAAAAAAACTAGGCATTTTTATTGTTTAATAATAAATAAAAAAAAAAAATTAAATCAGTGTCGGCTGCAAACATATCTATATCTCCGCTGTAAAGTGGATGTGCCTTAAGAGAGAAATGCACCTTTCATATCATATCAGCCTAATCAGCCGGTATTTGCTTTCGATTCTAATTTTTTCGTTTAAAAGTGGACATTTCAAGCTTTATATAGAAATATTCATCATGTCTGTGAGGCTATACACTGTGTTTCAGTTCATTTTTGAGACGCGCTCCAGTTCACGCCACAGAGACCATGAAAGCGCGCCCTGTTTGTTTTATTTTATTTTACAAAAGCACAACATTTTCTTGTTATTGTGAGTTTACAAAAATAAAAGTAGCTACTTGCGACTGATGCATTATTCTTTTCTGTATAGGCCTATGACCAGAAAAGATTGAGTATTTCAAGTTGTTTCCACTGTTGATAGGAACATGCAAGTGTTCGCGCCGACGCCTGCCATGCAGTGCGCGCTGCACACTCCGCACAAACACTTTGGATATGCATTAATCTAGGTTAAAGTTAGAGCGAGCTGCCATGCCAGACGGATAAGTCCTTTTCATGTTTAACAAATCAAATCATGCATTTTCTACCTACCGCGAGTAAGCGCTGCACCAGTTTGAAAAAGGTAAAAGCATAACGAGCGTAACGAGAGAGGGGCCCCACACTAAGGGGAATGCAGAGATGTTGCTGCGTCTGTATATTAACATTTCTAATTGATAACTTATCAGCCCTCGGGGGTCCCCTTAAAATGCCTGGCTTGCCTGCCCTATTGTGGCGCCTGTGCATACAGGTGCAACACCGTTGTCCAAAAAATTGGTGAAGGAGGCCTTTGAGACATCCGTGCCCAGGGCACATCATCGCCATAATCCGTCCCTGGCTGTTCATACATAGTACAGTCATCTGTAAATATTATTTTCTCAGTTTTTTTTATTGATTGGTTTTCTCAAAGTGATAACATGCTCTTGCATGCACATGGAACACGCACAATTGATTAGTAAAGTTCAAAAGAGACTCGCTTATGGTAAAAGACAGAGCATTGAATGATGAAAATGTGGGGCTTGAATTTATTTAAGTGTGTTCGACAATAACTAAAAGGATCACTAAACTTTTGCCATGAAAACACTGCTTGTATCAAATAAAATTGCATACTTTTCCAAACTGCGTAGGAACCCTGTAATAAGAAATGTTCATTTTGCACCAAAATAACAAAAAAAAATTCTGAATGATCTCCTTGAGATACCAAAGACTGGAATAATGGATCCATCACAGGAATAAATTACCTTTTAAACTATATAAAAATTGCATTAATATTTCACAATGTTACCGTTTTAAAAGGCCTTCTTTCAAAAAACCTCAAACTTTTAAAATGGTAGGTTAGGTAGATGAGTGTACTACTCACTGAGGTATATGTGGAAGCAGAGTAAGTGGCCCAGTAAAAGTGCAGACAGTAGGCCCAGAGCAATGGTGACTCCTGCAAGAGCGGGAATGGCTGGACCTGCTGTAGTGACTGGAGCCACCGGCAGAAACACAAACCACACCACAGATTCATTCCTAACTGCAGACAAAAAGACAAAGAGAAATAAAGAGGATGACAACATTGACACATGGACAGAAATATCACATTATCTGAGAAAGTGTACTGTATTATATGTTGTTGTGTGTAATGGGCCCAATTTTAGTACATTCAAACACACAAAACACCTCTTACCCTGTTGAAAGTGCTTGTCAGATCGAAGTTTTGATGGGTCCAAAAAGAACTCTATAAATACATAACTAGCAATAACTACAACAAAAAAAATCCCCAGGAGAGCAGAAATCACACTATTGAGAAAAAGCCTGTCACGAATAGAAAAAGAAAGAAAGAGAAATAATTAGCAAATACATTAATCTTCAGGCCTTTAAAGAGATCATATTTAGAGTAAATGCTATTTTATGTCTATAAAGGTGAATTTGTGGATGTCATGCCGCTTGTACATAAAGATACATAAGTTATGCCATAATGATTTTATTCACACTGACTGTACATATATTCAGTCAATTAATGAAAATACATGATTTGACTGATTCATTGGTAAGCATCCCAAAGGTCTGCCATTGCAAATAAAACGAAAAGAATGTTTGTATGTGATGCTAAGCAACAGCACTTGATCTCACGATTGCCTTATGACTTCCATTTGAGAAAACATTACATATAGCGGTGGTCAGAATTATTTGCCCCCTTGGTAAATATGATCAAAGACGGCTGTAAAGCAAATAAATCTGCATTGTTAATCCTTTTGATATTTTTTTTTTTTTTTAAAGAGCAAAAATCAAACCTTTCATTGAAGTAAAAGAATTGAAAGTGGGGGGGGGGGGGGTTCTTCAAAAAGTCTATCACAATATATCACAACAATCAATGTATACAATCATAGATGATTCACAAATAATCACAATAATTTAGAAAACATTATGCGATAAAATTTCAATCCAGCCTGTAAGCGATTCTTGCACCAAACAACACAACAAGATGACATTTAAAGGGGTCATATAATGGTACATGCACTTTTTCAAGTTGATTGTACTGAAATGTGTGTTGGCAGTGCCTGTACACAACCATCATATAATGATAAAAATCCATCCAGTGTTTTTGTTTTAATCTCCTTATATGTTTTCCCCTGCCTCAAATCGAGCCGTTCGACCGTGTGACGTCACACGGTCGGACGCCCCTCCCGCGATTGTTGATTGACAGGCGCATTTCATCACAGACCCGCCCTCGCTCGTGAGCCAGCTGTCAAGCATAGTCTGCGAGGACCGGCGCGGTCATTGTTGATATGCTGGAGCACTGTCTATGAGCAGAATGGCGTCTAAGCGATTGTGGTGTTCTGTTCTTGGGTGTAATAACGAACACAGCAGTCATTTTGATGTTCCTAAATCCGAACCGCTGAAAAAGCAGTGGCTGAGTTTGTTTTCGAAGGGAATATTCCCCACGAGCAACATCAATGCTTTCATGTTTGCGCGAATCATTTCTCAGCAGACTGCTTTATAAACGAGGGTCAGTATAAAGCTGGTTTTGCTAAGAAGCTGCTCCTGAATAAAGGATCGGTACCAGCTATTCGTGTTCCTGCTGAACCTCTAGAACAACTGAAGTGACTGTAACATTTTATTAACCTTTATATTAATATTTATATCTTTGCAAATCGCTTCACGATGAATGAGTCTAAGGTTTACACTCAGGGTACATTACGGCATGTTTTCTATGAACGACGTTCTCCATATAATTCATAATCCCACGTTTATAATGAACAACGCGTTACGGTTATTGTGTTACAAACGTGCTCACAGAACAGAGGGGCGGAGTGAGCAAAGCTCATGATCATTTAAAGTCATATGCACTGAAACGGCGTGCTGAAAACAGAGCTGTTTTTGACCAGGTAAAATAAGTGTTTTCTTACAATACTAATGAGAATTTTTAATTAAAGTATATTACAAACTTTGAATGTAGACCCTAAAGAATCATATTAGCTCGTACAAAAATGGCATTATATGACCCCTTTAATAATAATAGTAATAATTTAAGCTCCTTATTATGTAGCCGAATCTGTGATGGTTTGTATTGGCCGCCCCCAGTTTTCACTTTGTTTTGCCTCCAGCTAGCGCTGTGACGTAGGCGCAAAAGTGGTCTATAGTGACTTACACTATAAAATGCTATTCTGAATGTTACGTTTTTCTGAATAGTTTGACACAGGATCTGCCTTGAAGACTCACACAGTTAAAATATCTATCCATGGAAACGGCAGAACGTGGAAAACGAACACACACAATGACAGACAGAGAAGAAGTGAAAAGGACTCACCAGTAGTTTCTGCTGCCCACACAATTATTCAACCATCGACAGTGGTGGTCAAAGCTTGCCACACACTTATTACACGCACTACAGTGTTTTGATTTAGGGCCCCTGGAAAGTACAAATTTACAGGTTGTGGGACAGAATAGAAGAGTTGTTTGAAAAAGTTGCACGCTTGAACACAATTTGTGTTGCATTTTGGCAGATACCGATAACCGATAATTCTTTATGTTTGAAAGCCAATAACCGATATATTGGCCGATAAATCTAAATCCAACTTTTATAAATTTTTTGAGAGCCTGATTTCAAAAACAAAAGTCTCACCATTAAAATCAATGTCTCAAGCACACAATTATAATGTTCTCATTATAATTTTGTGTAGCCTATATGACAGACTTGCGCTGCACGTTGCACTTAACTGTATTTTCCTTTTTCGAAGGGATTCCAATCATATTTCAAGCAATTCAAAAGCATAATGGCGAACAGTGCGCATCTTAAGTGTCTCAACTGAAGGAAATAATCCATTATTTATCGGTTTTAAATATATCGGCCACATTTTCTTATCGGGCCGATAACATTATAAATGATCATACACTCACCTAAAGGATTATTAGGAACACCTGTTCAATTTATCATCAATGCAATTATCTAATCAACCAATCACATAGCAGTTGCTTCAATGCATTTAGGGGTGTGGTCCTGGTCAAGACAATCTCCTGAACTCCAAACTGAATGTCAGAATGTGAAAGAAAAGTAATTTAAGCAATTTTGAGCGTGGCATGGTTGTTGGTGCCAAATGGGTCAGTCTGAGTATTTCACAATCTGCTCAGTTACTGGGATTTTCACGCACAACCATTTCTAGGGTTTACAAAGAATGGTGTGAAAGGGGAAAAACATCCAGTATGCGGCAGTCCTGTAGGCAAAAATGCTTTGTTGATGCTAGAGGTCAGAGGAGAATGGGCCGACTGATTCAAGCTGATAGAAGAGCAACTTTGACTGAAATAACCACTCGTTACAACCGAGGTGTGCAGCAAAGCATTTATGAAGCCACAACACGCACAACCTTGAGGCGGATGGGCTACAACAGCAGAAGAAAGGTTAGGAAAACCTTTTTTAGGTTAGGTTAGTAGCCTCTTTTTCCTATTAAAGAATAGGAAAAAGAGGCTACAATTTCCAAGAGCTCACCAAAATTGGACAGTTGAAGACTGGAAAAATGTTGCCTGGTCTGATGAGTCTTGATTTCTGTTGAGACATTCAGATGGTAGAGTCAGAATTTGGCGTAAACAGAATGAGAACATGGATCCATCATGCCTTGTTACCACTGTGCAGGCTGGTGGTGGTGTAATGGTGTGGGGGATGTTTTCTTGGCACACTTTAAGCCCCTTAGTGCCAATTGGGCATCGTTTAAATGCCACGGCCTACCTGAGCATTGTTTCTGACCATGTCCATCCGTTTATGGCCACCATGTACCCATCCTCTAAATGGCTACTTCCAGCAGGATAATGCACCATGTCACAAAGCTTGAATCATTTCAAATTGGTTTCTTGAACTTGACAATGAGTTCACTGTAGCAAAATGGCCCCCACAGTCACCAGATCTCAACCCAATAGAGCATCTTTGGGATGTGGTGGAACGGGAGCTTCGTGCACTGGATGTGCATCCCACTAATCTCCATCAACTGCAAGATGCTATCCTATAATCAATATGGGCCAACATTTCTAAAGAATGCTTTCAGCACCTTGTTGAATCAATGTCACGTAGAATTAAGGCAGTTCTGAAGGCGAAAGGGGGTCAAACACAGTATTAGTATGGTGTTCCTAATAATCCTTTAGGTGAGTGTATATCGGCCGATACCGATATGGTGGCCGGTCTTGTTCTTATCATATTCCTACTGTAGCCATATTATTAAAGAAATAAGGTTGAATAAAACAGAGGGTGTACACTACAATAATTTTACTACGGTTAAGAGGGCTTTTTTTATGCCAAACGACATCCTGTGGTAATCACTGCAACACAGTCCATTGTAGCTTGTTGATGCAGTAAAATATGCATGAAAGGGGCAAAGATGCATTGAATCTGATCTAGGAAGTGGTTTTCTCATTGTCTACACACATACATACCTGCATAACAATAGAGAAATAGACAGCCGCTTGTCTGTACTTACACATCTACTTCACAGAGGTAGCAGTGACAGTTCTCGATGACGTGTGCATGTTTGGTGTGGTCAAATACCGGCATGGGTCCTTTATAACTCTTAGCTCGGACATTATAATCTGCAGGGTCGATGGAGACGGCCATCAGGTGCATGAAGAGGTGACAGACAAATGTAATCCCTGTACACTGAGCTCTACGTTAAAGACTGATAACTTGATAAGACTGTATATAATGTACATAGAGCTGTACAAGGTTCCAACTGATAAGGGAGGGTACAGCTTTACAGACCTGTATAATAACAACAACACACAGATGTGAACAGGAACAGCTTCTTTGCAGGCCACATAAACACTAAAACAAGGATACAATATATCCGGCTGGGATCCAGTGTGTGGGGAGCAGAGGCACAAATACGCCAAAGCCAGTGACAGCAAAGAAGAGATAAAGCAGCCAGGCCAGGAGCTGGAAAGGGTGTGGGGGCCAACTCCAACCATTGGTCCGAGAGCATAGGGGCACATCAGCTCTCCTGGGTCCCCCCTCACTCACTGGGGCGGTGCGATTGGAGTTCTTGCTGCAGACATCCATGAGAGGGGAGCCTGCTTCTGTCACTCCTGTCATTAAAATATTGCAGTAGGTTTTACTTTTAAGTCAACATGAAATCAAAATTGACAATTCTTATTATTTATGGAACATTGCAGCATTTTTTTTATAAATAATTTTCCATGTAATTTTTCTTTATTTTTATATTATTGTATGCTTCACAGAAGAAAGTCAATCTAACAGGTTTGAAACGACATGAGGATGGGTAGATGAAGACAGGATGAATTATCCCTTTAAAAGAATATAAAAATAATGCTTAAAACAGTGATCACAATTTACACTATTGCAATGCTAATTTATCGAATGCATCCAGAATTTATTGAAAATGAGCTGTCTTTATATATATAATTATCTTATCTAAAACTATTTTTTAACAGTTTATCTCCTCTTTTATGGCTACAAGACCTTTTTTCATTTTTCGAGATATCCAAACAAAGTTTGTGTTGAAAATTGTTCAAACATTTTTAAAAAATGTTTGACCACATGAATGCCTAAATATATAAACGTGTTTCCTTTTTATTAACTTGGATATCTATATTGGCCATTGACCTTTTATAGCTCAAGTAAACCATAAAACTCACTTGCTCAGTTACCGATGACAGGACTCTGGGCTGCTCCACCACATCTGAATCAGCCAGCATTACCTGCACAGTTTTTTTCTTTACACGAAAACTACCACTAACCTGACACATATTTAAGCCTTACTCATCCACAGCACCAATACAACAGCTCTGAGTGACGGCTAGCTCTATCTTTACTCATTTACTAACGTTATATCTGTAGCCTGAGCAGAGCGGCGTCTCAGTAACCAAATCTCTCATCGCGCTCTCGTGCTGTGGCTAAACTAATCTCGTCTAGATGTAGTAATTAACTTGCAACAGTGCACCAAACTAATAAGAGATTTGAAACTGACCTAGTGTTAACCGCTTGTTGTGCGTGGAGAGCACGACTAACTGTACCGTTAACTAATCATTCTGCAAACAAATCACATTTTACTGACACGCACACATCTCGATAAATATCCAGAGCGTTTTATCCATCGAATCAATCCATGCTGCTTAAAAGACTGCACAAATACCAACAAGTAAAGGTTTTAAAATAGAGTAGAAGCACTAAATCCAATACAGTCGGCATATAATCATAGCATATAATGACAATTTGTTTGTGTGCACCTACATCCGGGAAACCAGTTACAGGTTTTATTTCAAATTAAAAGTCCTTACCACTAAGGAGCTGGTAAGTCCCGCCCCTTCCGCTTGCCCCGCTCCCCGCTGGACCTCTAGGTTGAAAAATCGTCAATGCAAGTGAATGAGAGAAAATAATTATTTTCTAATCCCATTTGAATTTTGCAATGAATGTGAAAATATGTTGTCTGTGAATTTTTTATATAATTTTTCGTGTAAAGAATGCTACAATTTAGCGGGTAGAATTTTCATACGGTTAGACTTTGTGAGAGCACTTTGTGGACCATAGACATAATAATGTATTTATTATGTCTATGTTGTGGACTACAACTCTTCGCTGCTTTCGACGCGTTTGATATACGTCACCACCACTAGCACACGGATCCCGCTAAACATGCCTGTGTTTGAATGGTCACATTTGGGTACAAAACACACAGGCATCTCGATCTAATTCCTTAGGCCATGTCCACACGGACACGGGTATTTTTATAACCGGGGTTTTTCCTACAGCGTTTTTAAAAAAAAATCCCGTCCACACATGCTCGGTCTCCGTCTACATGAAAACGTAAAAACCAAAACCATAGACTGTAAAAAAAAACACGCAATCAAGCGCGGTCAAGAGCATGCCACGCCAGCAGGCGGCGATATAAACCTTAACCCTAAAGCCACGTTTTTTATTTTATTTTTTTTATTAGTTAAAAAAATATATATATAACAACATTTCAGTCTTTCCAGTTCACATTCGTTATAATAATAACAATACAATGCGTTAAAGATAAAAAAATAAAAATAAAAATAAAAAAAATCAAGTTACCAATAAAGAAAAATAAACTTGTGACAGATTTGTATCCCATGACAAAAATAGTTCTAGTGACATATTATCCATTAAAAATTTCTAAATGAATGTTCATTACTGATATGCATTTTTTGTTTGTAATTAATTTAAGAGACTTAAAATAAAAATCCACCTCTATCAAAAACAACTTAAATGATGGTGAGGAATTCTGGAATTTACATTTATGGATATGAAACTTACAAAATGTAAAGGTTTATTATAGTACATAGTTTCTTTTCTTTGTATTCAAAATAAGTGATAATGTTCTTCCCCTAAATGTTGATTTTGTGTTTTGTTTTACATAATATATAATTCTCAAGTTCTTTCCAAAATGCAATACTGTATGAACAACCATAAAACAAGTGGGTTACATTTTCAAGTTCATTTTTACAAAAAGTACATTTGTTATCAATATCAAGAAATCTTGAAATGTACATCTTAGATGGGTATATGTTATGTAATATTTTTAGATGTAATTCTCTAATTTTATTTGTGACACAAAATTTAAAAGGAACAAGCCATGCCTTTTGCCAATTAATATTCATAAAAATAGCATTCCAGAAAAATTTCCCTCTAGGTATTATTTTTTTGGCATTGTAGAAACATTCTCTGATATGTTTATTAGTACATTTTTTGCTTAGAATGTCAATACCATTTATGTAAAGAATGTGAGGAGTAATGCGTTGTACATTTTGCTCTACATAGCTTTTCATTAATTCTAATATTCCACTGGGAATAGAGTTAATTACTGAGCTAAATTCTTTAAATTTTACAGGGAAAGTTTTCTGTGTAAGAAAGTCTTCATAGCTAAGAAGTTGACCATTAGGACTAAATAAGTCTTTTAAGTAGATGATATTATTATCTATCCAGTTTTGTAAATACAATGATTTGTTCCTTTTAATAATATACTCATTGTTCCAAATGATAGATTTATGTGGTGAAAAGTTGTGTGAATAACATAGCTTCCAGGCTAACAGAGCTTGTTGATGAAATTTTGACATCTTAACTGGTAATTTAGAAATACTGTAATCACAAGACAGTAAGAACTTGAGACCTCCAACCTTCTTGAATATATTATGAATAAAATTCCATAATGAATCTGGGGCTTTTGAGCATTCCTTTAACCATTTAACTTTAAAAGTATAATTTAAATCCACAAAATCTAATAGATCAAAACCCCCTTTAGCTTTAGGACCAGAAAGCAAAGCTTTTTTCAAATGGTGGTGCTTATTCTTCCATACAAATTTAACAAACATATCATTGATTTCTTTACATGTAGAATCACAGACATTAAGGGAGAGTGCTGGATACACAAATCTAGAAACTCCTTCAGCCTTAGTCAAAAGGACCCTACCTAAGATTGATAAGTCTCTTTGAAGCCATAGGTTCAATATAGTTTTAGATTTTTTCATTTTGGGGGAGAAGTTAAATCGTTGGCGCTCTATAACATTCTTACAAACAAAAACACCGAGATATCTAATACAATTTTTAACAGGCATATTATATATGGTTTTATCGTTTGTTTCAAACAGACATAAAATTTCGCATTTAGATTTATTCAATTTTAGTCCAGAAGCAGCTGAGAATTCGTCTATTAATGCTACAGCTTTTCCAATCTGATGTTTGTCCTTTAAGAATAATGCTGTATCATCAGCTAGTTGGGTCAGTTTAATTTCCTTTCCAAAAATAGACAAACCTTGAATTATTGGGTTCTTTAAAATATGTAATGAGAGCAATTCAACAACAATCAAAAATAAAAAGGGAGAAATCGGACAGCCTTGACGGACGGACCTCAGCACTGGAAATCTTTTGGTAGTGTTTGGATAAAATATGACACAACTGTCAATATTTTTATAAAACATTTCAATTGTTGAAATAAAATTTTGACCAAAACCAAAGGTTTGAAGTGCTTTAAACAAAAAATGATATTCCACCGTATCAAAAGCCTTGTAAAAATCAAGAAAAACTATAAGGGAGTCATTATCAATGTTTTCAGAGTAGTCTAATAAGTCAAGAACAAGCCTTATGTTGGAACTAATATGACGGTTGGACATAAATCCAGTTTGAGTTTCGGCGATAATTTCTCCAAGATCTTTTTTTAACCTTTTAGCATATACCAATGAGATAATTTTGTAATCTATATTTAGGAGCGTAATAGGTCTCCAATTTTCGATCATAAGGTGATCTTTTTCCGGTTTAGGGATTAGCGTTATAATACCCTGTTTCATACTTGTTGACATTTCTTTCCTATCTTGACATTCCTTAAATAATTCCAATAAAGGATCCACAATAATATTCCAAAAATGTAAATAGAATTCAACCGAGAGGCCGTCGTTGCCTGGAGATTTTCCTTTTTTCATTGATTGGATTGCTTCTGATATTTCTGATTTTGTGATGGGTCGTTCACAATTAGTTTTGAAGGGCTCTGAAATGGTTGGCGTATATTTTTTAATTGATTCAATAAACTTATCACAATCATTGATTTGGGACCCTAAAGCCACGTTGGCCAATCAGAAGCGCAAATCTGACGCCAAACACAGCTGATAACGGCGCACACTCTGACGTCGCAAGGCAAAAACCCCGGTTTCACTGTCTACAGTCACGACAACACTCTAACCGGCGTTTCTGAAAATCCTCACCCTGGCAGGGGTTTTCAAAAATGTTCGGTGTCAGTGCGTTTTCTGAAGGTTATAAAAATACCCGTGTCCGTGTGGACAGGGCCTTAGATTATCGCACCGTGATTTGTGGAGGGAAAATGTGTTATGCGGTGACGTCACATATGCGACGTGTAGTCTTTCTCGTTATGTCTATTCCACAACTGCTAGCCAAAGAATCATACAATATACTGTCAAACTTGTTACATGAGAAATTATATAAAAAATTCACAGACAACATATGTTCACATTCATCGCACAATTCAAACGGGATCAGAAAATAATTATTTTCTCTCATTCACTTGCATTGATGCTTTTTCAACCTAGAGGTCCACTTGGAGTTTTACGGATGGGCGGGACTTACCAGCTCTATAATTATTGTAAAGTACTATTATGATTATAAATAGATTTTTTTAATTTTAATTTTTAAATTAAACTGAGAGTGGAAAATACTAAGCTCTTTTTTATATTGTTATTTCGTTAGATGCAGTTACTTTGTGCTGATATAATTTGTCTGTTTTTATAGCGTCACAAGCTTTTCAGTGCTGCACTGTAGGCAGTTTTACACTAGATGGGAGCAATAGCATGATTTAAAACAAAATAGAATTTTTATTTTTATTTTTCACAAGTATTTTTTGTATTACCATTATATCTCACAACTAGTTCATGCAAATTTAAAATTCTTTCATGTATTCTTTCTTCTGTCTAATATTATATATCACTTATTTTCTTCAAAAATCTTCTTTTTTGTTCCACAGAAGAAAGAAAGGCATACAGTTTTAAAATAGTATGAGGGTAAATAATAACAGAATTGTTCATTTAAACATTAGGCTATTATTTCCTGGAGAAGTTTTTGTTAGTGCTACTCACACAGTTCAAACAATTCTACTGGACATCAAAAAGTTCACTAAAAATTGTTGTATGAAAAAAAAAAAGTCTGCCATTTCATAACAGTAATATTCATGACAAATGTCTAAAGATATTCCAGATAAAATGTCTTAGCCGCCACAAATCATAACATGTTCTTCTGCATACCAGTTGGCTTTCCAACATAGAATTTGACTATTTTAATTACATGTGT